TAATTTTACATATGCTTCTCCTGGTTCTAGTTCCATCCCGTGTACATGACAGAGGTGGGGGGGGGTCGACTTCCATGATGAGAGTAGGTAAGATCGGAACACAGAAACCAACACAGAGCCTTCCACAAGACATCACATGTTGACAGAGGACTGAGAACTAGGCAGTTACGTAGATGCGTATTTAGAGCTTCGCCCTGACCCGTGTGAACGCGTGAACGTGGAACGCTCAGCTCCGCAGCGCCCGCCCATCAGGCAGACCAGGCGTCGACGTCCATGCGTTACAGGTGTACCCTTCCCCACGCAGGATACCGAAGCTCGCCACAGTGGCCACAGTGACCCTGTGTCCTCACGTCTACACCGTGCCCTCAGCGTCAGGCTCGGTCTCTTTCACCGAACAACACCGTTTGCTATGCTGTCGCTATACCACACAGTTTATACAGACACGTGACATGTCGTGGACTCGAGGCCTCAGAACCGTCCCCGATCTCCTGCACGTGTGGGCGGGCTCCACCTGTTTGCTACTATACTTCGTGTTCAGTCACCATCTTTCTTTACACTGTTTAGGATAAATTCTCAGGAATGGAGTTACTGGGCAGATGGGAATAATCTTTTCTGGGGTCCTGAAGACGTGAATTTTAGCCACAGTAGAGTTCCCCCAGGAGAGGACCGTGGCTAGTCTCTCTCTTTCATCCCAGAGGCAAGACAGGGGGCCAGACTTCACAGCCATCCTTGCCATGAGGACACCACGGGGCAGCACCTGCCTCCTGCCTGGGGAATCCGGTGAGAGACAGCCGGCTGGCCGTGCTGGCGGCAGAGAGGACGGTCACCATGCACGGCCGTGGCCCGCAGTCCCAGGCAGTGCAGGACGCTGCGTTTCCAGGGACTCAACGAGGGTGCTCCCAAGCCAGCTGCCTGGAGCCATCTTCAGTCCAGCCTGTGAGGACTGGCCAGAGGGGCGATGAGACCTCAACAGAGACAGTCTCCTGGGAATAAACTGCTAAAACCCAGGGCTAGAGGAAAATGCATGTCTGCACCTTGGAAAGTGCAGAGAAATGCTGGGAAAGGAAGAGAGGGAAGGGAAGGAGAAGGCAGTCTGGGGAGGGAGAGGACAGAGGGAGGAAGGGTGGAGGAGGGAGAGGGAGGAAGGCAGAGGAGGGAGAGGGAGGAGCTCTCTAGTCACTGCAAAGCCCAGAATGTGAAGCCATCTTAAAACGGAACCTGTCTTCTGAACTCAAGGAAATGAAAACACACACCCACACAAAGTAGTACGCCGATGTTCACAGCGCACTTGCTGAGTGAAAGCAGTCATGAAAGGCCACATGCTGAATGATTCCGTTTATACGAAATGTCCAGAACAGGCACATCCAGAGAGAGAAAGCAGATTAACGGTTGCCTAGGCTGGGGCGTGGGAATGAAGAATGACTGCTAGTGGGTGTGGAGTTTCTTTCTGGGGTGATGAAAATGTTCTAAAATAGACCATGGTGAGGGTTGGGTTGTGCAACTCTGTGAGTAATATACCAGAACCACTGAACTGTTCGCTTTAAATGGGTAAAGTTTATGGTATGGGGCTTTAACTCAATAAAGCGGTTACAAAATTTTGAACCTGTCCTGTAAGAACGAACATTCTTGCGCTCTCTTTATCTTCCCCTGGCCCCAGGCTGACCTTATCAGGGTCAGAAACCATGGCTAGCGAGGGGAGGGAAAGGGCTGGAAACATAAGGTGAGGCAGGCAGGGTCCTCCTCTGCTTCCTCCTCTACTGGGGTCTAAGCCAGCCCTAGCCGGGGAGGGAAGAGAGAATTTAATCTTAAATCAAGGTGACAGCTGTAATAATCGTTTGGAACTGACATTTTAAATTAGTGATTTGAGACTGCATTTGTGATTTAAAGTAACAATTGCTTTCCTTTTTTTTTTCTTTTTTCTCTTTTATTAAGAGAGAGAGGGAGAGAGAGAATCCCAAGCAGGCTCCACACTGTTAGCACAGAGACTAACATGGGCGGGGCTCGATCTCACAAACTGTGAGATCATGACCTGCGCTGAAATCAAGAGTCAGGCGCTTAACCAACTGAGCCACCCAGGTACTACCAATTTTATTTTATTAAAAAAATTTTTTTTCTTAATTTATTTCTGAGACAGAGAGAGACAGAGCCTGAGTGGGGGAAGGGCAGAGAGAGAGGGACACAGAATCCGAAGCAGAATCTGAGCTGTCAGCACAGAGCCTGACACAGGGCTTGAACTCACGGACCGCGAGATCATGACCTGAGCCGAAGTCAAGACACCCAGCCGACTGAGCCACCCAGGCGCCCCAATTTTATTTTTAAGAGTAATGAGAAGAGTCATGGAGCTGCCTAACTTTGTATCCACGAGATGAGATCTGTGTACAATTTAAGTGGGAGACAAAAACAAAGGTACTTTCTGGCTACAGCCCAGGAGTCCTGCCCTGCTCCAGATTCCAGCTCCAATTAGGAGGAGGCGTTCCGAGCAGAGCCCAATTCCAGCCTTCCCACAGCAGGACTCTGGACGTTCTCCCTGTCTGTTGCACACAGGAAGTCATAAAAATCGTTACTCACTGATTCCTCCATGACTCAGTCGGCATGGTGAAGTGCTCGTCACAGGCACGCACGTGTACGCACGCACACAACACACGCACACCCTCTCTCCTTCAGAGGCTCAAACCCTCCACGATCACAGGGACACAGGTAACTGAGAGTCCGCCCTCCCTCACCTGGGCAGCGAGGCCCCTCAGAAGCGAGGGCCGCCAGCCCACCTTCCCCTTTCTGGCCACTTCGCTGCCACGTCCTTGCGGAGAGAAGTGCCCTTTGCTTCACCGTACGTGACCCAGAAGCCCTCCCTCTTGACCCCGCCACGTGCTCGAGATGCTCCGGCAGGACAGTCTACCGGCAGCCCCCAGGCCCTGCCGTTGAGGCGGCTGTGCTGACGCCCGCTGCTGCACACCTCGCCCTTCCACGCTTTTCTGTCTACGCCCCGTGGACCCGGCTAGGAGCCCGCGGCAGCCGGACTCGGCCGTGCCCAGAGCACCTTGGGGCAGCTCCACGAACGTCTGACATGCGAGCCCAGGGAGGGATGAGAGGAGACCCCGCGGGAGGGGGCGAGGGGACAGCACCGCGTCCGTGTCACCCCCGAGGAAAGGGAGGTGAACCACGCAGTGACAGGGCGGGCACCTGGGGGGGCCGCGTCCGCGGGCGTCACCCACTCACCGCAGGCGGGGCAGCCGTACGGCCGCTCACCCGTGTGCCGGACCCGGTGCTTCACCAGCTTCCTCCGCATGTTAAAGGACTTGCCGCAGTCGTCACAGGTGAACACTTTGTCGGCCGTGTGCGTCTTTCTGTGCTCCTTCAGGTTGCTGAAGTTACTGAAGCCTAGAGAGACCACAAGAGGCGTTCGGCTCAAGGACTGAGGCCGTTTTCGTCAGCGGTCTTCGAGAAAGAAAAGGAAAACGCTCAGCAGTACCTCTCCCACAGATGTCACACAAGTGTGGCTTCTCTCCCGAGTGAATAATAATGTGGCGCTGGACGTCACCAGAGGCTGCGAACCTGCCGTGACATTCGGAAACTCAATTAAGAATTTCTTTCCACATTGGTGCACATCTTTACAATTGCAAGTCACTGAGGGGGACGGATGGGCTGCTCCCCACATCCCTGCAGAACGAACCAGACGTGGCCTGATTTCATTTGAAATGTGCATTTTTAAAAATCTTTACTTTTTTTCTCTTTTTTACAAGAAAGTAGAAAATAATGCAAGTGCTTTGTTTCTGAATGACCGTTTTTTTTTTTTTTCTACCTAGTTTCGTCACTCTTTCTTCTTCAGAGATGGTCACCGGGTTGGCTCAGGGAGGTCTCGGCCACAGAAACACGCTTCCTGCCCACCACACCTAACTGTAGAACTGGTTCTGTTTGCAACAACACGTGTGTGGACATGGTTTTAAATACACGCCTTGCTTTTAAAGGGAGTTCAGAAGGCTCCCATTTAACCCATGTTGTAAAACAAGGCCAAAGGGAAGTGACACCATCTGAAGCAGCGGGGGCTCACTCCGGAGGCGCCCGAAGCGAGGGGTGTGCGATACCCCCGGCATGAAACGTGCCCGCGGTGCTGAAGCGGCCATGGCAGAAAGGGAGACGTGCCAGGCCAGGCAGCCTTTCTTTCTCTGTTTCCTCCCATCTGCAGAGACAGCGGTTTTCCCGGACCTGAACAAGGGGCGCTTCTTCCTCCAGCGTCCCCACAGCACGTGCCGCACCCCACACTGGAGGACTTTGACTTGAACTGTCCCCAAAGCCGTCTCTGCCCACCGCCCCTGACTATGAATTTACCGGAGGCAGAACCTGTACTGTTTTTTTTCCCTTCTCTTTTTTAACAAAGGCCTTACACCCACCGTGGAGCCCACGTGGGGCTTGAACTCACACGTGAGCCCACGTGGAGCTCACGTGGGGCTTGGTCTCACTCTGAGACCAAGACCTGAGCTGAGATCAAGAGGCTGATGCCTAACCCACTAAACCAGCCAGGGGCCCCTATACTGTTTATGTTCCCATCACAGCACTTAGCATACGGCAGGTGCCGAATAAATGTTGGTTAAATAAATGAATGACTGAAGCGCTGTGGCTGGTGCCTGTTAAAAGTGTGCAGACTCCAGACAAGCGGCCCAGGGAGGGAAGGAAGGTCCCCACTGCGACTCTGTCACAAGTCACAGCCCTGCCCAGTTGGCCACTCGCACTGCTGAGCTCTCAAGGCCTGTTTCTGACTCAGCTCAGGGCCCTTCCAGCCCTTCCTGGCTGCGAGTCTCATTGCCCCCCCATGACAGTCACCTCCACGTCCCCATGGATCTATGATCTATGTTAACAGACATTCTTGGAATGAATGGAAATTTTAGTATAATTTTGTTTCATGTAAAATCCCATTTCCTAAGACTCTGTGTCCTAGATTTTCTTTCTCTTAATGAACATTTCTCTTTCTTTTTGTTATGGAAAAGCCGGAGGGTCTGACTTTACCTGCGTTCCTTAGCTACGCGGTGAGCCCACAGGTGGCCCAGAGAACACCGAACTCAAAGACAGACACGAGTTATTCTTTACGAACAGAGGAACAAGCCCAGCACTGACCTCTTTCCGCAGATTTCGCAGATGTATGGTTTTTCACCAGAGTGCCGACGTAAGTGAGTCTGCAAGTTACCCGCCTGTAAGAGAGGGGAGGAGAAAACGCATGCCAGTAGTGACCAGTTTTCTTGAAGGTTCTATAAATCCAAAAGGAAAACTAACAGACTGAGCCAGGTCCTGGTCCAACTTCCAGGTGAAGATTACATATGCACAGCTCAAAGCAGCCGTGCGCAGGGAGACCAGGGACAGCCCCGTCCTCACTCGGGGGCCTGGGCCTGCCCGGCAATCTGCAGATCGCACGGACATGCCTGATGGGACACTTCTGACCCCAGTGCTCCCCGTGAGCCCCTGGCTTGTCGCCTTGCGGGTACGCACTGTGCTGCTTCCCTGGCAAATGGGCCCCATACACTGTGGGGGCTGCTAAGCTTGTATTTCAAACAGACCTCGGTCCGCTTTACCTGGTGTTTTTAACTTGGACCATCTATACGCAGGCATCACTCGGAAACAAAGCATCTGTCTGTACTTGGTTATTTCAGGATTCCTTGTTTCTTTTTTAAAAACATGCTTTGGTTCATAAAGAAGGTAAGACACGTGCAAACAGCACTTCCCCTGGGCTCTGTTGTGCCGGACTGGGCTGTCCTTTCTTTTACCTTTGTGCAAAAACGCAAAGCAGGAGACTCAGGAGCCATTTCGCTGCTGGGCCTTTTATGTTCCTAATTGCTGAAACTAGCAGGGCTTCGCAGAGAGTAACTTATTTCTTTTTTAATTTTCCTTTCATAATTGAGTTTTTATTGGTTGTTCTGAGGATCAGTACAGACAATTCAATTTGTACACAATTCTTAACGTACGTACTGAGAGAGAGTAACTTACTTAAATGGGGATCGCAAAATAGGTTTCCATGCAATGATCAATAGGAAATCAATATTAACTTGCCTCAAGTACACTAAAATTGAAACAGCAATCGCCTTATACTAAAAAAGCTCCTGGCTAATGTTTCAAATTAGGATTTGAAAACAAAATCCTCCACTGCTGGAATTTAACTTAATAGACTCAATCTGTCATTTCCCCTCCTAATTTTTTACAGTGTTCCGTTATAAAGACACTGAAACGAATGAATGTGCCCGAGGGTAATAATGTGCCGGCATTATGCACAAAATAAGCCAAAAAGAGAGGATGAACAGTAATGGCCAACTAACAAATTTGGCTTTGTAAATCTGCAAACTAGATTTTAAATAAAATGCAGACAGTTCATGGTTATACGTTTGAAGATGGTCTGAAGTCCACTTCTGAGTGGAAACTTACAGGTAGAAAAAGTGCGGCCTGTGGATTGCATGTTACAGAGCATGGAGATTCTGTGAGTCAGGCTCTGGGAGATCACACAGTTAGATACTTCAGAATATGATAAATATGGCTTCGAAAAAACTAGGTTTATTTGAGGTAACTAAAGAGGAAGAATTTGGCAAAACATTGGTAAATACCTAGCTTTTAACAGAATGACTACTGACAACAGTAAGTGTCAACAGCCATATACGTTTCGTCTGCCTGCCCTTACACACAACACTAAGCTGCTCTTAGTAATTAGATCTCTTTTCTAGATGAAAAACTCAGATTCAGATAAATAAGTAACTGCCCCTGTTACACAGCTGGGCCAGAAAGTAACATGGGTTTGTGGGAGTCTGAACTCACAAGTTTCTGTGAATAAACTGGCTGGTGTTGACTATTCCGTACAAGAGTCACTTGGCTGTTGGGGAAACAGCTCCTGGGAGGTGAGATAATGTACCACTGACTGTTTTAAGTCAGTCAATTCCAAATTCCAGAAAAGCGCATCAATTATATAACAATTTGAATAGCACCATGGGCTCATCTGTTAAATTAGGTCCTTCTTTTTAAGTTACTTTGTAAATGATGTATCACGACTGAAATGCATTCTCTGAGTCAGTGCTTAGCAGCACTGAGCCCTTGCTTTTTAACTGAAGCGTCACAATTACTCGTTTTCAAAGCAAGTATAATCAAATGATCTTCCGCTTAACATAGTATAATAAGCAGTAGTAAAACAACCCCTTGAATTTTTTTTTTTGTAGCTATTTAATAAATAGAAACGGATCATGAAAATCTTTCCCCAGATAAAGGAGCACATATTGATCTGGCCGATGGTATAAAAGCAGATGAAACACTGAAAGATTCAGGCAAAAAAGTCCAATAATGCATTCAACGATTTATGCCAAATGACACAGCAAACTGGGACCCGGAGTACTTGACCTTTACCGAAGCATCTTTATTTTTGGTAAACTGTGCTGCACTCTCGTGCTCAGTACATGCGAAGTACCCAGTCCACATCTTGCATGGAACTCTCTAGCAAGCGGGAGTAACAGTGACTGCTACCGATGATTCGGAGGTTACCAGGAATGAAGCGGCTGGGTTAGCAGCCGCAGACAACTCGTCACCTAGTCACAATTCCCTTATAAAGTAGTAGCATCGCGGTCTACGGAAAAGCAAACAGATGCTCTGGAGGGAAGTCATCAGCCTGGGCTCCGACAGCCGGGATCAAACATCCTGATTCAGGTCTGTGGACTCCCAAGCCTGCGGCATTCACTGTCTGTGCTCAAGAACGTTAGCGGCAAAGGAGGCTCTACTCCTTCTAAGCAGGTATTTTAAATTAGGAGGGAGCTGTCAGAACTGTGAACAGAAAAACTCTGCTGCAGAAAAGAACTAACACCTGATTTGAGTAATTTAAAAAATAAACCCTTTCTAATAGGCACGAGGACGTGAGCACTTAAACACGAGCAAACCAAACACGTATTCTCTATCAGAACACTTTTCCAACGGCAGCTGATTATTCATGTAAAAAACAGCTGAGGAGTCATACCATCTTAGAGATAAAAGGGATCCCAGATCTTAAAAGTCACCTAGTTCAGGAGTTTTGGGACTTTAAGATTTCACCAAATAACAAAAGTTAACGGGAAAAAAATCTGGAGATTAGCACAGAGATGTCTCCTAAACAACGGGAGTGTGGGACATACCACCTCAGGGCTCAAAATTCAACAACTTAGGAAAATTTCATCAAAACACTCTTACTCTTGCATTTTCCCCCGGACGGGCCCAAACCCTGTCACCTGTGGCGTCAGGTGTCCGTGCCCGGGGGGAGCACACTGATCTCCAGGCGGGCCCCCTCAGTTCCGCTCCACACACGGGACACCTCTTTCCGGAAGGCACCGACTGCACCAGTCACTCCAAGTTTCCATTCCTGCCTCTTTGGAGAGATGACACAACTCCAGTCCTCTCCCGAAAGACAGCTCAGTGCACAAGGTTTCCTCTTCCCATTTCTCACGTCACAGATGTTCCAGACCTGCCCCTACCTCACGTCTCCTCCGGGTGCACCTACGGGGCCGGGTTCTACCCCGCACGGACACCCTGCATTCGGACAGAGCCTCATCATACTCTAACGCGTGCGGGACCCCCAGTGCTGAGATTCGCGCGCAGACTGTGTCCACAAATATATTAACACGTGTCGTCTGTTGCCACAGTCTCGAATTACGGTAGCTCTGCAAAGCTCACGTATCATACTGCTTACGGACTCAACGGCAAGGTTATGGGTAACTTATTCCCCCCCAAGACCGACTCTACTAAATATAAATTGAGGAAACAGCATGAAAGATTAATTCTCATTGATGAATCTGTTTTCTCACTTTCGAGACTTCCAGAAGGGAAAAGATTTACAAACTCCCTTCTACCAAAGCAAACATTCCAGCAGTAGCATGGGAGCACTCCAATACACCGTAACCGCAAACATCTGCTCCAGCTCATTCTTACTCGACACATCTCCAGAGGCAAGGGAATTGAAAGCAAAAGTGAACTATTGGGACCTCCTGAAGATAAAAAGCTTCTGCACAGCAAAGGAAACAACCAACAAAACTAAAAGGCAACCAAAGGGATGGGAAAAGATATTTGCAAATGACATATCAGACAAAGGGCTAGTATCCAAAATCTGTAAAGAACTCACCAAACACCACACCCGAAAAACAAATAATCCAGTGAAGAAATGGGCAGAAGAAATGTCTTCTCTAAAGAAGACATCCGGATGGCCAACAGGCACATGAAAAGATGCTCAATGTCGCTCCTCATCAGGGAAATGCAAATCAAAACCACACTCGGATATCACCTCATACCAGTCAGAGTGGCTAAAATGTACAAATCAGGAGACTATAGATGCTGGAGAGGATGTGGAGAAACAGGAACCCTCTTGCACTGTTGGTAGGAATGCAAACTGGTGCAGCCACTCTGGAAAACAGTGTGGAGGTGCCTCAAAAAGTTAAAAATAGGTCTACCCTATGACCCAGCAATAGCACTACTAGGAATTTACCCAAGGGATACAGGAGTGCTGATGCACAGGGGCAATCATACCCCAATGTTTACAGCAGCACTTTCAACAATAGCCAAATTACGGAAAGAGGCTAAATGTCCATCAACTGATGAATGGATAAAGAAATTGTGGTTTATATACACAATGGAATACTATGTGGCAATGAGAAAGAATGCAATCTGGCCTTTTGTAGCAACGTGGATGGAAGCGGAGAGTGTTATGCTAAGTGAAATAAGTCCTACAGAGAAAGACAGATACCATATGTTCACTCTTATGTGGATCCTGAGAAAC